GGGTCATTAGAAGCTAAGGAGATGCATGTGTAAAGGTGAGGGAGCTCAGGAAGTAAGAATATTGAGAAAAGACTCAGGCAGCTGGCCTGGAGAGAGTGAGGGGCAGCTAAGGACATAGAGATTGACATTGCAGGGTCTGGAGGTATCCTTGGAGCAATGCGAAGCCATTGAAAGGGGGTCAAGCCTGGGGTAGGGGATGTGACATGATCAGATTTATATCTTAAAAAGGCAAATTAGAGATGTTCTGTTTCCTCTCGTGTAGATCTCTCTTTATAGAACAAGGATGTTCATTTCTTTATCGATATAGACAGGCTAAGGAGATACTTATTATTTTCTTCTTTTAAGCGTATATATCTATATTTACTCTATAAATATGTAATATTTCTCTGTGTCTGTAGGAAAGTGGATACTTAGAGACAGTAAGTGAGCCAGAGATCATCAGAGAAAGCAGGAAGTGTCCCTAGAATAAGACTCTTAAGTCCCAGGGGTCACACATAATAGCTATTATGGTGTAAGCCAGTGATTTTCAACCAGTGTGCTGCAAGAATTTTTTAAACATGCAATACCTGGCTATTTGGCCAGGGGCACTGACCGCTTTTCCCTTAGATTGTCAAATAAAAGAATGACAACAGCCAATACAACAATAGCCATCTGGTGTGAATGAATCAAAATTATACCTATCTTTTGTCAGATTGGCAAAAAATGTATATTTTCTGGTGTGCCGCAGAATGTTAGTAATTAGTTTATGTGTGCCATGAGATGACAAAGGTTGAAAATCGCTGGTGTAAGCTAAAGGATTATTAGCTATCTCTGGGATGATGAAGGCCCCGGAAGACCCTGGTAATTTATACTTATGTTAAGAAAACACACTAAAGTGAATTAAGTAGGCATTTTAATTGTTACCCTCCAGGGTCTGTAAACAACACAAACATGGGACAGAAAAGGGAGAGTTGCAGAAAATGCACTGGATACAGGGAAATTGTTGGGGTAGGGAGACAGGGAGGAGGTGTCCTGTCCTATTATTAGATGGAGGCTAGACTCTACCATGTTTTTGACTTTTGGCCAAGTGTCCAGTAGTTTTAAGTTCTTTAAAGAAATAAGTGCTATGGGAGGGTTCCAGTCAAAATTGCAACATAGGTAAATGCAGTATTTCTAATCCTCCCATAACCACATCAAAATTACAGCCAAACTACAGAACCACCGCCATTCAGAACCACATGAAATCTAGCTGAACAGAATTCCTATAACTAAGGATACAAAGAAGAAGCCATATTGAGACTGGTAAGAGGGCCAGAAATGCAGATTTTTAAGTGTTTAAGAGAATTTGACCTGTCAGAGTAATATTTTAGCTTTATAATTCCAATTAAATATAAAATTGAGGAATTGATTTAGCTCATGATTCTAAGTTGAGGCAATATAAGTTAACTTTCTAGATTTTAACTTATCTAAGAACATGGGAAGGTTTGTTTATTTAAGCAGTACTTGAAAGGAAAATAAGTCAAATGTATAAATATGGTTGAAAATATTTAAGGGAATCTACTTACTTTAAAAATTCTTTAA